CTTTTAAGTTGTTATTTAAGATAAGAGCTGGATTGATTCATGCTGCTCTGAATTCCCTTGGTCATTTTGACAGTTTTATTGGTTCCTGGAAAGGGGATGTGTCTCTGTTAAGTGTGTGTGTTATTTGGTTCTTGAGGAGTAAGTATGTGTGCAAGTGTGTATATTACTATGGGTGTGTGTTATCATTTGGCTCATTAGGGAGTGAGTGAGTATGATGTGTGTAAGTGTGGATATTTGTGTGGGTGTGTGAATGAGGCCTCAACACCTCCGTAAGCATGTCTGTCTTGTGTGGGTGAGAAATGTGAGTAGGTCCTGGTTTGTGGGGTTATATATTAATACTATCTATATTGTTAGATTTGTGATTGAGCCCATTTGGATATTGCATTTTTAACCATTGTATTCACTCATTTTCATGGAACTCTAAAATCTTTCTAATGTTATTGGCTTTGATCTTTTGATATATATATATATATATATATATATATATATATAATATGATAAAGTTAATTGGTAATCCATATGGATAATTCCAGGGAAGATATAATTCCTGAGAGCTCAATGTAATAAACAGAGCAAATGATAATTAATTAACAAATCAGAGACTTCAGAAAGCCATTGTAATATTTTATTTTGCAAAATCAATAATTCGATTTTGCTTCTTCAGACCTGGCAGTTTCAAAACAATGAATGGATTCAAAAATTCTTCCAGGAATCAACCGACAAATGAAAAACAAGATTAACGGAAGTTTATATATATATATATATATATATATATATATATATATATGGTATATTTAGGTAGCTAGTATTTTTTTTAATAAGGTGATCTATATGTACATCAAAAACCTAGATAAACTGTCCAAACTCAAGGTTGTTCTGTTGTTTTCCTTCAAATACTTTTGGCTGTCTCAGTTAGCATTTGACAACACATGGTTCTTGGTAAAAACTGAGATGGTTTAAAATACTTGAACAAAAATAACAGACCAAATATGAATTTCAGTCAGTTTGTCCATAATTTTGATCTTATTCAAAAATTTGTAAATAAACTAAAAATGTTGACAGTCATTTTCATTTGAATTTAATAAAACCAGTTTGGATATATGCTAAATAAATTTATTCACTTAGCTGTTGAATATCAAACTCTGAATCACATCCTTTCTTGAGGAGATTTGGTCATGAATGATATTTGAACAAATTCGTAAAAAAAATCTCATGAAAAGTGGATGAAATTCCTTGAAACTTGAGTTGAGATATTTAACAACCAAATGAACAAATTTATTTAACTTATTATTATTAATATGCCAAGCAATCTAAAAAGGACTGCTTGCCTTAAATATATTATCAGGTTGATACATTTTTTGTTAAATACAGTCTCTGTTATTGTTGTTTTATATATATATATATATATATATATATATACGTGTGTGTGTGTGTGTGTGTGTGTGGGTAGGTGTAAAATTTCAGATAGAGTATAACTGTATAAAATACTGTATAAAAATTTCAGATAGAGTATAACTGTCTTTGGTCACATGGTATATTTTAGCTATCGCCTCTATATATGCGTTTCACCTTGCCTCCTTAGCTGAATTTCCCTGACAATCTGTTTAGGTGAAACCTAGGTAGGTTTGTTTGGCTCACTAGGTGTATATAGGTCTGCTCTACGGTTGTATTGAGCTCTTTTGTTAGTTAGTTGTTTACTCGTATCGGGGTTTTTTCTTTGGGCTTCAAACCCGCATCTGTAGGATTTTTTTCAACAGACTTTCATGTTTGTAGCTCTTTCTTTTTTTAAAACCTTTTTTTCCCTTGAGATTGATTTGATTATTGGCAAATCAGAAATTCGAGGGTTTTTCGAAACGAGTATAGTTATCTATATTTGTATGTATATATATATATATATATATATATATATATATATATATATATATATATATATATATATATATATATATATAAAAAACAAAAGGAAAATTATCTTAGCTTACCTGTTTTGTCCCCTGACAAAATGCTTGAATTTTATTTTGCAACAAGTATTTATACACAGAAGTAAAAATGTTAGTTATTCAGAATTTTTAAAATTAAGACTGCCCATAAATATATTCATAAATAAAATTCAACATTAAAAACATTTACTCACTTTCGTTTATTAGACATTAAATTATATCAGTTAGAATCCTCGTTAGCTTACCTTGATTTACAGTTAGTCTGAAGTGTATTTATGAGTGTTCTTAATTTTTTAAATTCTGAAAATCTAACACCATTTTCACTTCTGTGTATAAATACTTGTTGCAAAAAAAAATGCTTACATTTGCCTTGATAAATTCCATCAGAGGAAGAAAGGTATCAGCTAAGATAAGTTTACTTTTGTCTTATATGATAGGATAAAAAAACAAACTGGGAACATTTATAAATCTAACATGTTTTGGTTTTATTAAAGTTTCATCAGAGAATGAGATATGGAGAAAAAGAAATTCTGGTTATTTTATTTTATTTTTTATTTTCATTGGTTAAGAAAGCTTCACGTGCATTTGACTTGTTAAGCAGTAATCATGTGTATAATTTATGTGTGTTAGTGTATCATAATTCTAGTTTTCTATGCAGGATTCAGATGATAATATATATTCTTATATCATTTCCTATTTGTCATTTATCCTATCATTCTGTCAGATCACTATTTTATCTGTATTTGATCTCAATACACACAAGTGTGTGTGTGTGTGTGTGTGTGTGTATCTATTTATGTACAAACCTCAGGTTCATCATTTGATGAAAGCTTTAACAGTCACTGCTGAAAATGCATTTCAGAAATGTGTGTGTATTTGTGTATATATATATATATATATATATATATATGTATATATATATATATATATATATATGGACATGTGTATACATATAGAGAGAGAGAGATGTGATTATACATACACACACATACATATATATATATATATATATATATATATATATATACATACAGGTATATATATAGAGGGTTTTTTGTTTTTTTATCTAACTTTTTAGTGTTGACAAGCTCTTGCAGAGTGAAATGGCCATTCAGATGTTTTTTTAATTTCATTTATTTGTGTGTGTATATATATATATATATATATATATATATATATATATATATTTATTGGATAGATGTGAGTTTGTGACCCTGTGAGCGCTTTCTAATAAGTACCGCGTATATAATATATAAATAATTATACATATATATATTTATTTATATTTATATACACTTTTCACATATATATATATATATATATATATATATATATATATATATATGTATGCACAAGCCTTCATCACTATAATCAAATAATATGTGCAGATAGTCTGCCTGTTTAGTTCTAAGCTGCTGTATCCTCATACCTCAATAATGACAGGTAAGCCCAGTGTATATGTATGTATGTATGTATGCATACATTGTCTATTGATTTCTATGCTTGTTAAATGATATTTATTTACAAATGTTATATATTCAAAAAAATCTTTTATTGTCAATTATAAAATTTTATACACTTTGCAGTTTAGCCTCACCTATAAAACAGTGAATTGTTATAAATTATCTATCTGATTCTAATGAATTTAAATTCATTAGGGTCTAATTTTTCTTAGCCTGTTATATGGCATTTAGAATTTTGCATAGAATGTCTTAGTCTATTTGTTATTAGTCTCTATCTGTTCTCAAACATTGTAAGTAATAGAAGCATAATACATTATGAGGTTGTTTAAATAATTACTTAACTGTTTATAGAATTCTTAACTTGTATGATTATATAATCTTTTGTATTCCAACATTAGGTATAAAGGTTATTTTATGATATAATGTGCAAAATTAGATTTATTTATGACAGGTGGGGAAGCAGCACGCATTACAAAAACAATCTTGATTAGAATTCTGGAAGGAAGGACACATACAACAAAGAGATGACAGTAATTTTGTTGTTTCTGTCATAATGGTGATAAAACGATGGCAATCATTTTTCCTTTTTTTTTTGATGTAACAGAAAAAGAACAACTAAAAAAAAAAAAAAAAAAAAAGGTATATGTGTGTATATATTACAACCCCAATAAAGAAAGGAATAAAAAAATCAGACATGTGAAGTCATCTCCATTTTTTTTTCTTTTTGTTTATTTTTGTTTTCTCGTTGCCCGCTGCCTGGTATGGAAGATAAGTTAGTAGAAAGGTAAATAAGGTAGGTAGATACATAGGTAGGTAGATAGGTAGTAGTGGTGATGGTAGTTTGTCGTACTGATGAGAGTGATTGTAATAATAATAACCATAGAAGTACCAACCTACAAAGTACAAATACTTTAAAATCGATCGACAAGTGAAAATTTTACATTACGGAGTGTTTTTTATGTTGATTTTTTTTTTTTTTTTTTAGTTGGTTAAATTTTATTTTAAATCTTGTTTTAAGTGGGAAAAAAAACAACACTAGAAATTTATATATATTCATATATATATATATATATATATATATATATATATATATTTTTTTTAAATTATTTCTGGGATCACATACCAGTTTCTCTAATAAACTCTTCTTTTTAAGATTTCCACACATTATTGATTTTATTAGTTGGGGTGGGGTTCTTGTGTGTTGTTGACATTGAATTTTTGTTGTGGTTTTTCTTCCATTCATTTTCTTTTTTCTTTTTTTTTAAATGAATCAATATATTTCCGTATACAAAATGCTTTGACTTTTTAATTAATTTTCTTATTTCTTTTTTCCCAAAATTTTTTTTTTCTTTTTATAAGTACTTTCCTGTGGCAATATATTTTTATAAAACAAATCTATGTTTTTATTGTTGTTGTTATTGTTTTGGCTGTGTTCCTTTAGAACTTTGGGAAATTTCCGGTCCTTTCTTTTCATAACAGCTATATTCCATTTTCAGTGCGAAGACTAAAGGTTTGACATTCAAGTCAAATTTCCATTGGCAGTTACTTCAACTTTTAACATTACAAAATCAATTTTCTTCCTTTTTTTCTCCTTCAGCAATTCCTCTTTCCATCAATTCAAATTTTTATTTATTTCTTTATTAAATCTTTCCTGTTTTTCTTCTTTCTTTCTCCATTAATCACCTTCAATTTTAATTCCCACTGTTTTTCCTCCCTCTTTTCTTTCATATTATCAATATTTCTATCTATATCTTGGCATTTATTTCTTTCTTATTATTAATAATCATCTTAGGTCTACTTTTTGTCTTTTTATGTTAATTTTTAGTTTCATTTTCTTTTCTTTTATAATGAATGAATAATTTGACTTCATAATTTTCTTCTTTGTGATATTGAATCCTTCTTTGTTATTTTATTTTTCTCCCTTAAAATTCTTCGTTCCCTTTTTATTTTTATTTTTTTAAAAGATTTTCTTTTTTTCTTTAAACATTGGGGATGTACCAAAAAGTGAATTCAGAAAAAAATAATAAGAAAATATGTCTTCGATGTAGCAAATCACTGTGTATATATCTTTACAAGAGTGTGTAAAAATAAGAGATGTTGGTAGGTCGACAGGTAAATAGTATGTGATGGTAGACCATCAACAACACATACACACACATCAGTTTTTTTATTTTTTTCTTTCTTTCTTTCTTTCTTTCTTTCTCTGTGGCAGCAAGGTTGGAGGCCCTTTCCAGAAAGTTACCATTCATCCCGACCAATGAGGCCATCACTTAGAACATCCTGCGCCGTCTGGAAAGCAAGCACTAGGACTGCCAGTTGCTCCTTAAGGGTAGTGAAATCTCCACTACTCTCTCCGGTCATTGTTGCTGAAATCACTCCAGGAAATATAAGTTGTTCATTTATATTGTCCGGGTGAGGTGACATCAGAACATTTCTAAAATAAACACAAAAAAAAAAATTATAAAAAAAAACAAATAAGAATTAAAGAATAATCAATAGAAATCAGAGAATGAATGAGTGAAGAAAGAAAGGGTGAATGAATGAGTGAGGAAAGAAAGAGTGAATGAATGTGTGAGGAAAGAAAAGTAAATGAATTAGTGAGGAATGAAAGGGTGACTGAAAGAATGAAGAAACAAAGAAAGAGTTAATGAAATAGTGAGGTAATAGTGAATGAGTGAATGAATTAGTGAGGAATAAAGACTGAATGAATTAGTGAGGAATAAAAGGGTTAATGAATGAATTTAGCAAGAAAGAGTGAATGTGTAAGGAAAGAATAGAAAAAAATTAACAATGAAATTATTTATGAAGATTAGAATTTATTGAAATCAGACATGGACATGTTTTTCAATTTTTTTCAACAAGTAGAAAGAACATACCTTTGTTGTGTCCATAAAAAATACATAAATATTAAATAATGAATTATATTGTCATAGTGTCCTGTCCTTACAAAATTGAATAATTATTAATTATATTATCAAAAATAATTAAAATAAAATAATCATAACAATTATAATTATCATTAATTCACTTATTCTAAACCAATGAGAACTGACTTTATTTTTCTCCTCTACACACACAAACACTATTCTCACTATTGGACAAGCAATTCACACAGGTCATTAACACATGTGTCAACAAAAATTCCATCTCATTTTCTTTTTCAAGCCATAATAGTAACACTTAGCTCTTAATACTCAACAAAAATTCAAGGTAAGAAAACCCCAGATACTTCTTGAGGTTTTCCAACTAAATTATCTGGACACTTATTACACACATCTGTAAAAAACTTAAAGAAAGACTGTCTACACTTCACTTATTCTTAATCATATCATTCTGTTGGATTCCAATCCATATTTGACATAAATTTGACAAAAAAAATCAGCTTTACTTGGCATTATTGTCTCATTACAACCAGATAATAGATAATACTCGTTTTGTTGTTTCTACTTCTTGCCATTTCTCATTTTTACGAGTATTTTTGTATATATGAATGTTAGGAGGGGTCTATAATTATTTACTCAGGGTTATAACTCCCATACACCTTTGAATGTTCTCCAGATAATACAATTCTTGTAGTGACAGTGAGTAAATGAAACAGGTACACAGGTATTTTCAATAAAATCTGGTAATTTTTAATCTGTGGTTAAAGGCTGTCTTCTTCGTTTACATACCATGAACGTGGATGACAATAAATGAAGTCCTTAGGTATAGAATTAATATTATTAACCTAGTGATGTCTTTCCGCTCAAAAAATGGGACAGTGGTCATTATTCGGCTATATGTAGGAATCTGAATTGGTCAAAACCTATAATTAATACTGAATTGTTATTTTACTTTTCATAATTAATACTGGATTGTTATTTTACGTTTCATAATTAATACTGGATTTTTATTTTACGTTTCATAATTAATACAAGATTGTTGTTTTACTTTTCATAATTAATATTGATTTTTTATTTTACTTTTCATAATTCATACTGGATTTTTATTTTACTTTTCATAATTCATACTGGATTGTTATTTTACTTTTCATAATTAATACTGGATTGCTATTTTAATTTTCATAATTCATACTGGATTGTTATTTTACTTTTCATAATTAATACTGGATTGCTATTTTAATTTTCATAATTAATACTGGATTGTTATTTTACTTTTCATAATTAATATTGATTTTTTATTTTACTTTTCATAATTAATACTGGATTGTTATTTTACTTTTCATAATTAATATTGATTTTTTATTTTACGTTACATAATTAATACTGGATTGTTATTTTACTTTTCATAATTAATATTGATTTTTTATTTTACGTTACATAATTAATACTGGATTGTTATTTTACTTTTCATAATTAATATTGATTTTTTATTTTACTTTTCATAATTAATACTGGATTGCTATTTTAATTTTCATAATTAATACTGGATTGTTATTTTACTTTTCATAATTAATACTGGATTGCTATTTTAATTTTCATAATTAATACTGGATTGTTATTTTACTTTTCATAATTAATATTGATTTTTTATTTTACTTTTCATAATTAATACTGGATTGCTATTTTAATTTTCATAATTAATACTGGATTGTTATTTTACTTTTCATAATTAATATTGATTTTTTATTTTACTTTTCATAATTAATACTGGATTGTTATTTTACTTTTCATAATTAATATTGATTTTTTATTTTACTTTTCATAATTAATACTTGATTGTTATTTTACTTTTCATAATTAATATTGATTTTTTATTTTACGTTACATAATTAATACTGGATTGTTATTTTACTTTTCATAATTAATATTGATTTTTTATTTTACTTTTCATAATTAATACTGGATTGCTATTTTAATTTTCATAATTAATACTGGATTGTTATTTTACTTTTCATAATTAATATTGATTTTTTATTTTACTTTTCATAATTAATACTTGATTGTTATTTTACTTTTCATAATTAATATTGATTTTTTATTTTACGTTACATAATTAATACTGGATTGTTATTTTACTTTTCATAATTAATATTGATTTTTTATTTTACTTTTCATAATTAATACTTGATTGTTATTATACTTTTCATAATTCATAATGGATTTTATGGTGGGTATTTGTTGGTTCCAATTTGCAGTGAGAATGATTATTTATCGCTAATGATTTAACAATGTGGGACAAGGTCAAAGGGAAATTGGGGAGAGGCTGGTCAACACTTTCTATCCTAGACCTAGCTAATCAGATTCATGACCCATTCATCCATTGCAATTTACTCATTCACCACCAGAACTCATCTATTGCCATTCAATCTAACGTATCCCACAATACCACATATTCACAGGGATCTACAAAAACACCCATGACAAAATGTTCTTTTTTGATTTTTTCAACTTTTTAAAAATATGTAAAACTTTAATAATATGAAATGATGCAGTTAGGGATGAACCCAAAAATGAAACTAAAATATAACAAAACATTCAATTAAAATAAAATAAATAAATAAATAAATGTTAGTAGGACTTGTCCACCCCACAAAAATAAGAGTGGCCACTGCATTCTACCAATAAGCAGAATTAAGAATCTGCAGCGGGAATGAATGCAAAATACTTTCCCTTTCCCAAATGATAGGCAAAAGCACACAAATGCATGCTGGGATTTCTTCTTAACCAATAAAATAGGCCAGTTCTTGGTGTCATCTGACTCAGCCCCAGTTTGTCTTTTGAAATCAAAACACTACATTCACTAATTTGAACTTGCTTTTGTGTGTCAACCCTACTTCTTAGTTTGTGAACTTTTTGCCTTATTACTATTAATTTACTTTGCATATATTGTTTATTTTAATTTATATCACCCCAAGCAAGGCAGTAAAGCCTCTAAAACTTTACTACAGCATTTCTTTCATCTTATTCTGTTGCTTTACATCACAGCCCTCGGATTCTTTACACATTTATTGTAACACTATGAATGGGACTCCCAAGTCGAAGGGGAAAGCTTGATTTTATCTCAATCTTAAGTGTTTCAGTCAGCAGATGGGATCATCTTTGAAGTTGGGTCAAGCATCCACTTGACCGAAGGAGAAGAATAAATGAAAGCTTTTAGGAGTCAAACAACAACAAAGCCATTATCCAGTATACCACATCCACATCCAAGTTTACAGTACCTGGTATTCTCAAGCAGTCACCCATCTAGGTATTGACCAGGCTCAACATTACTTAACTTTGGTGATTGTATGGGAATTGATGTTTCAATGTGATGTTGACTGTAAGCCGAAGACAAGAGGGATAGAGGAAAACAATGTATAATTTACATCATGAGCTTGAGTAAATAGATGCCAGAAAAAGGTTTATGAGAGATAACAAGAAGAAAAAATTTAAGAGGCTTGGAACTTGTGGAGAGCCATGATCACCAAACTCCTAAAGGGACATACTGCATAGCAGATTATTGTTTTGTTTGTTTAGCAGCATATCAACTCCTTATGGGTTATTTAATGTCAAAATTAAATTTTCTTTGGAGCTTTGAAGTAATTAAAATATATGTTATTCTGCTTTCACAATTGATTACATGGTAGATAATACTCAGCTTTTGCATATGTAGATGTTTGTGCAGACATAATTAGTAGAGGCAGTGAGATATGTGCTTTCTTTAAGAAAGCACATATATCATGTTATCTTTAAGAAATTGTAGGATATTATTTCTTTAAGAAATTGTAGGATATTATATGGATTAATGCCATGAGAGTTCTTTCATATTGGTTGATTTTGTTTAGCGGCACATCAACACCTATGGGTTATTTAATTGCTGAAATCTAAATATTTTGAATGCAATTGCAAGCCTTCAACTACAGATAAAATATATTTCTGACCATTCTACTATAAAATGTATTGCTGGTCATTTTGCTATAAATAGGTACTGTTGGTCATTTTACAATAAAAATGTATTTTTATACTTTTATAGTGTTCTGTTTTTGTTTGGGGGTTCACTATTTGCCCATAGCTGGGACCCTAACAGGTGCTACCACTCTGGGTCAGAATGGACCTGGGAACAACAGCAATTAATAGGTGGTTTCATGCTCCTCAAAATCACCATTCTCCTGGTCAGAGGCATTGCTGCCAGATTCAGTTTATCATCATACCCAGGACACACTGCATAGAAAAAGATACAGTATAGGTCATATAATTTTATATTATAAACTATGACAAAATAGAAAAATTCCTAGGCAACACATTTCATCCATTTAAAGGACTTCTTCAAGTTAAATCATATATATGTAGTGGGGGGAATGAATGAATGTAATACAAACATCACTTATTTTCAAATAAAAACAAAAGCAGTAGCAGTCTGAAAGAGGTGAAGTAGTCTGTGCATCTATGAAATTGCAGAAATTTAAAGATTTTTAATTTAAAGTTAAGTGTCTCTGCATCTTTTGTGTTTCTT